ATTAAGAAAGAAGAATCAAAAACAAATAACACTAAAAAAGATCACACAAAATTAACAAATTATATTACAGATTCTTAGCACAATTTGATGAAAACAAGATCAAAAACTTAAAGAAAACATATTAAAATACGATAAACAAAATCAAGATTAAATAAATAAAATAATAAAAAAGAAAAAACATAAAGATTTAATATGAATGAAATTCCTTTAGTGTCTATACTACTTCTTGTATATCTTTTCTCTATTAACAACAAACGGTGATAAAGAAATAATCACTGACATAGTCACAAGCCAAAATTAAATTGATTTTGATAAAGAAGAATTGATATACACATTTATTAAGAAAAATACAACTTTTGGTCTTTCCATTCTTGTAACTATTTCCGAAAGAATTTGAACCATTGTGTCTAAAGGCATGAATTTAAATAAAAAAAATATTATCTAATATTAAATTAATTATATATTAATATTTATTTAGTTTAGAGATAAAATAAGAGCAAAATAGTAATTCAACTTTTAAGTTGAAAGCTTCATGCTTATAATAATATATGATTAAATCTTGAACAGTTAAAACAAAAAAATTGAGTTTGCCAAATAACACAAAAAAATTGAGTTTGCCATGATAACACAAAATTGTATAATTCGAATTCGTTGAGGAAGATTATACAAAATTTGAGGAAGATTGAAAGTCATTCAGAGTGGTTATTAAAGAAGAAGAAATTCAGATATAATCATATAAAGTTGATGTGGATAACATCACTGCAATAATGTGTACCTCATGTATATAAAGTGTATATCATACACAAAATTCATGGCATCACATATATATGCTAGAGGTACACAGATATACAGGTAAATGGGCATACACATAAATATACACTGATATATATACCACACTTTTGCTTGTATTCTTGGATGAACCAATTTAACATTTTTGAAGTTATTATGAAATGGGTAAGCTCATAAAAATTATAAACTTAATGATTGTCTATATATATATCCAAAGGTTTCTTATAGAAATTCTGATCATTTGCGTGAGAAAAAGAGAAAAATGTGATATGTCTTCTCTATATATGATTGTGTATAAAGGTACTAGTTATGATTAATAGTGTTGTAAAATTAATTAGATTGGTAATGGCTCATTTGCTCCCATTTGGGTCTTGGTTTAATCCCCCTTAAATTGATGTTAAATAATTGTTCTACAATAAGTCAAGTGTACAGGAAAAGGTTACTTATCAATATGTACATATACTTAATGTATTGATATTATTGTGTGTTTATATATATAAAATAACAATTCATCTTCCTGATTTTTTTTCTCAATTTTAACCTGCCAACAAACATAATTCATCTCCAAACGACACTATATTAATCTAAAGAAATTAATTATGCATATAAAAAGAAATTCATCGACATTACTTTAAGTTTTGCTGTGTCACACCAATCTTCCTTGTGATTGTTTTTTTTTTTTTTTTAACAATTTTGATAACTTATTTACTTTAACTCCTTTAAAGGTAAAAGTATAAAAATAAAATGAGAATAAAATATTAAGGTAATAACGCGATCATATCAAATCAATTGTTATAAAAAAATGAATTTATTCGTTGTTACTTAACAATGAATCTAAACGATATAAAACAATATAATTTAAGATAAAATAATTTTAAAGAATCTATTCTACCATTTAAATTAATCACAAAAATTCCTTTTTTCTTCTCTCTCTTTAACATATATAAGTGTACAAAAATATCTAGTACAAATGTTGTTGTTAATATATAATTTCAAACCTAAATAAATCAATAATTTATGTGTATAGAAGAATTAATATATATAGTTAAAAGAAACATGAGAATATTATAATTTGAGCGAGAGACCCAAATTGTTAATTCTACTCCAACTTAAGGTAATCTGAGCGGAGTGTTTTTGAATTCCCTCTCGTATGTCTGTAAGTTTCTCTTCATTGATTTGAGTATTGAGTGACGAACCATTCCATTAGTTAGGAATTCAAAGTCGATTGTTAATGTTGATAATCCAAAAATTGGGGTTCCCCCTTTTATTAAGCTAAGCAACCATGAAGAATGAACTAGTTTGTAGCTTTATGAGCAAAATAACTGTTTTTGCTGCTGATTACCAAGTATTGGCAAATGTACTCAAATGTTGTGCTGCCATAGCAGATGGGATGTTGGGGAAAGCTTTACATACTTGTGTTATTAAGTTAGGTCATCATTCTTGTCAATTTATGATAAAAGCCTTGCTTAATATGTATGCCAAATCTAAACATCTGGAGGATTGTCAAAAGCTTCTCCATACTACTAAATATACTGACATAGTCATGTGGAATATTCTCTTGTCTGGATTTGCTTCTTCGCCATTACATCAATCGGAGATGGGGAGGGTGTTTAATTTAATGCAAAGAGAATGTGATCCTAAGCCAACTTCTGTTACTCTGGCTATTATGGTTCCTCGCTCTCCACATTTGGGTGCTGGAAAAACTCTTCATTGTTACGCGATAAAGCATGGGTTGGATTGTCAAACGTTGGTAGCAAATGCTTTTATATCCATGTATGCGAAATCTGGGAATATTTTAGATGCCGATGCTACTTTTCGTGGAATTTCTGATAAAGATGTTGTTTCATGGAATGCAATGATTGCAGGTTTGATAGAGAATAAGCTTACAGATAGGGCGTTTGAATTGTTCAGGTTGATGTTGAGAGGTTCTGTCCTACCTAATTATGCAACTATAGCTAATATTATTCCTACCTGTCCTAGTTTAGGAGGGATAGATGGTTACCACTTGGGAAGGCAGATGCATTGTTATGTTTTGCGACGGGTTGAGTTGTTGTCAGAAGCTACTGTCATCAATGCTCTTTTGAGCTGCTATTTGAGGGTTGGAAATTTTGAAGGAGCAGAGACTTTGTTCCGGAATATGGAAAATAAAGATCTGGTGTCGTGGAACTCAATAATTGCTGGATATGCAGCAAATGGTCAATGCTGGAAGACAATAGATTTTTTCCGTGAATTCACTAAAGAGGAGATGACTGGACCAGACTCTGTTACTCTTATGAGCATTCTTCCAGTATGTCCACAGCTCAATAATGTGTTGATCGGGAAGCAGATCCATGGGTATGTAATTCGTCATAGTTTCCTCCATCAGGATATATCTGTGGTTAATGCCCTTATAAGCTTTTATGCAAAATGTGGAAACATTAAAGAGGCATATCACATATTTTTGTTGACTTCTAATAAGGACTTGATATCATGGAACACTATGCTTGATGCCTTAGCAGAAAACCAACTTCACAAAGAATTTATTATCTTGTTAAAGGAAATGTTTAGAGAGGGGATGAAAGCTGACTCCATCACATTATTGGCTGTGGTGCGCTATTTTGCTAACATTTCCAGACTGGATAAGATTAAAGAAGCACATGGTTTTTCAGTAAGATATGGTATCTTGTTAAGTTATACTGAACCTACTCTCGCTAATGCCTTACTTGATGCATATGCAAAGTGTTGCAATTTAATATATGCTAACAGAATATTTGAGAATTTATCAGGAAGCAAGAATGTAATCACATGCAACTCAATGATCTCAGGGTTTGTGAATTATGGTCTACATGAAGATGCTCATGGTATATTCAAGAGGATGACCGAGAGAGATCTTACCACTTGGAATTTGATGGTTAGAGCTTATGCTGAAAATGATTGTCCTGATCAAGCAGTGAGTCTGTTTACCGAGTTACTGCATCACAAAATGAGGCCTGATACCATGTCCATTTTGAGCCTCCTTCCTGTTTGTGCTCAAATGGCCTCAAGCAACTTGCTAAAGCAGTGCCATGCATATGTGATAAGGGCTTTTCTAGATAATGATGTTTATCTGGTTGGGGCTCTCATAGATGTTTATTCTAAATGTGCTACTCTAAAATATGCATACAAGCTTTTCCAATCATCTCCAGTCAAAGATCTTGTTATGTTTACAGCAATGGTTGGAGGGTATGCTATGCATGGAATGGGAGAAGAAGCACTTGGGATATTCTATCATATGCTTGAGATGGACTTTAAACCAGATCATGTTATAATAACTACAGTGCTATCTGCTTGTAGTCATGCTGGCCTTGTGGATGAAGGGTTAAAGATCTTTGATTCAATGGAAAAGGCGCATCAAATCAAGCCTAGCATGGAGCATTATGCCTGTGTGGTGGATCTACTTGCACGTGGAGGTAGAATTAAAGATGCGTTTTCCTTTGTGACCCAGATGCCCTTTCAAGCTGATGCTGATATATGGGGAACGCTTCTGGGTGCCTGTAAAATCCATCAGGAGGTTGATGTGGGCTGTGCTGCGGCTGATCACCTTTTTCAAGTTAATGCTAATGATATCGGGAATTATATAGTCATGTCAAATCTGTATGCTGCAAATGCTAGATGGGATGGCGTCTTAGAGATAAGGAGGTCTATGAAAATGAGAGATCTTAAGAAGCCAGTTGGTTGCAGTTGGATTGAAGTGGAAAGGAAGAAAAGTGTATTTGCCGCTAGTGACTATTCTCACCAATTGAGAGGACTCATATATGAAACATTAAGAGTCTTAGATGAACAAATCAAAGAATTGTATGAGTATTGACTTACAGCCTCGTAATATTTTGCACATGTGAAGTAACACTGTGTTACTGTGTCACTGCATTATGCAAGAAAGTGGTCCATCTCTGTAACAACTTAAGCTTTTAAATGGGAAGGTCATCACTTGAAACAGTTGCATAATCATAATGGAGAATGCAAATGGCAGAATGTAGAATGTATAATGCAGATAAGCTGATATGGGCAAGATATAAACTTCTAGGTTCTTTTTCTCTAGAGTCTAGGTCACTAGTATACATTTTGAATGTTGGTCAATGAGCAGTGTAGTGAGAAGATGATCCGTATGTGAGGAATTGTTTATTAACTTCATCTTGGCGGCTCTTAGTAGGACTACATCACATATATACCCAATTGGGACAGTTTTGAAATTTGTGTAAAGTGTATTTTAAGCTTGTCTTTACTTGAATCAAGTTCATTAAGCATGGTACTTTCTTGTTTATCTGAGGAGGAATTCTTAATTAAGAGGAGAGTCATCTACATTTGAAGCTGGTAACCAGAAAATCTGAAAATAGAAACAGACTTAGATAAGTTTATTATGATGGTTATAGTATTGTAGATATGATAATGTTGTCAAGCAGGGAACTTGTGATTGCTTCATCATGAAACTGGACTGATACATATGGATATGTGTCTGACACAAGGATGTCTAATTCCTAAGTATTCTCTCCATATTTGCTAGCCCATGAATATTTTAGTAATATTATCTTCGAGATTTATTTTTTTTACAAAAAAACACTCTACGAGACTCTTAAATTTTTAGAACTTGAATGTACAAACCTTGCAGGACATCCAATACAGATTCCACACACACATGTATATATCCTACCTCCCAAGCTAGGTGTATTTCTAATTGTGAATAAACTTGTTTCTTTAAGATATAACCACATGCTCCACTTTTTCTGGTCTTCTACAGTATAAAAATATTTACTTTTATTTGTCCTTGAAAGAGATAAAGCTCTTTATATATATATATAGAGAGAGAGAAAACCAATGGAATATGTTAACTTGATTCTTACGACCCGCCAAATTCACATAAAAAACCGTCAACATAAACACAAACAAAAGCTTCCGAGGAACTGGTCCAATCAAGGTCCATTAAATTTGCTATGATTGTTGAAGACATCCACATTTAGGTTCATACTTCAAAGTCCCTTGCATACAAGTCCAATTAAAAGAGAACATAAAAATAATATGGTACACACCTACACGACAAGTTTCGTGTACATTAGAACTAGACAACGTAACTGGGAAAAGATAATAACAGGATAGAATAGAGCTCTCCGTGCAACAACACAGGTTCCCTCGTAGAATTGCACATTGATACAACACTAAGTAGAAGCTTCTCCTTCCAACCGAAGTCTTTTCGAGCTTTTTTCTTCATCCTGACAGTTAGAACTTGTCACCCTGCTATCATTTGCCTCCAATGAGCACCTCTTGTAAGGCTTAAATCCAGTACGGCGAGCTTTCAACCTTACTTGTCCAAGTTCTATCATTGGTAGGCATGTTTCTACATCTTCTTTGTTGCCAATTAATAACACATTGTCTTCCATTGTTTGGTGACTGGAACAGATATTGGATGCCATATCATTAAGATCTAACTGCGGTCCACATTGAACTTTCTCGTCTGGCTTTTGCTTCAACTTTTCAAGAATGATCTTTCCCTTATTTTTCAGATCAAGTGAAGGAGAAAAACTTTGAGGCAACACTTCTCTGGTGAAAAGAGCCTGGAAAGCTATCCGTCCCTGTAGCAAAAGGTGGGAAGCAAAATATTCATTAAAGCAAGAAATGGTCACTGGAGGACTTACAAGAACTAAAGCTTCATTACCTCTTCGGAGACTTCTTTCCAAGATTCGGTTGGACTGATGAAATTTCTATAACGCCGATTCGCAGCCTCTCCAGCTAGAAGGTTAATATTAGATTCTTGGGGCTCTTCTTTACCTTTCTCATCCTTCTCCAAAGCATCTGTCTCAATTTCACTACTTGAAGGTGTGTTGGATCCACAGGAAGAGCGATCTACCTGCTTCCCGCCCTTTTCTGCGTTTGGCTCATTAATTTTAGTAACTGCAGCTCCTTGCTCAGTATCAGTGGCCGTTAACCCAGTTTTTAGCTTCCTACCTTCACTCTCCTCCGATTCTGATGATAGAGAAGGTGGCAACTTAGAACCTGATTGTTGTTCTTGCAAAGCTTCAGAGCATTCTGGGACAGGTTCCTGAACATGGGGAGAATCATGAGTTCCCTCTCTTCCTTCGTTCTTGTCTACTCTAGGTTGACAGGCATCCACTTGCATTGATGTTGCTGATGTAGGAACACAGGTAAAACTGCTTTGAAATTGAGAGCACAATGGTAAGAGCCCATGGGCTGCCCACCATGCAGTTGCAGCTGCTACTGTGGCAGCAGCAATTGCTGCCATACTAGGAGCTGAGTTAATCTGGCTAGCGGTGTTATCAGTTGGAGAATCCGTTGGACGTTCCATATTTGCATAAGGCCAAAAGCTAGCGGCAAAACTTGCTGCGACATGTGCTGCTGGGTTTTGCAATAAAGCAGAAACAATAAGGCTGGAGAAGGTGGAGGATAATTGAAAAAACGATCGGTAATCATCTGGATCACGAATAGGGGTGAAAATGGGGTGGAAACAAGAAAATGACTGATGAATGGATGACTGTGGAGCGTTACTGTGGTGCTCAGATGTGGTGGATGAAGCAGGGTTAGAATACAAATTTGGGAGCCCCGGGACCCCATTTATCTGCTGACTCGTAGATTCATGATTAAACATATCTGGGGCTATTTGAGAACCATTTGTTCCATCAAGAATATGCACTGGCACATGTCTTGGATAGTTGTGTAGCACTTGCATATCATTTCTTGAGAATTCCCCCAAATGGTTTGGCTGAAACGATGGATGTTTTTTCTCACCTTGTGCCAACTTTTCACTCGACTGGCAAGATTTCCCCCCGTCAAAGGTGTTACAGGAGCTGTTACCTTGAAAGGACTGTCTGATATCGAGTATTTCTGACTGTTGATGTTCTTTGGATTCAACAATGAGAAAAGATTTATTTGCGTTATCATTGTTAACCACTCCTTTGGTGACAGACACAGACTCACTAAAGGCACACACATCTGTAGGTGCCACATGTGCTTGCAAGGACTTTCCTGAAGACATAGAGGCTGCAGAAGCACCTTCCTTAGTTAACCCTTGGGAGCAGTTTTTCTTGTTCTGGGTTTCTTTTACATTGCCCAGCTTCTCGTTTCCGCCAGGTTTCTGATAAAGAACAAGAATACAACTAGGCCTTTAAAGAAAACAAAGTAAAAGATGTGCAAGATCAAGAGAAACCCATACCTCAGTAATCGGTTCTTTCTCCAGGTCAAATAAGTTCCTTTCCTCACAGATGGAAGAAAAAGTTGTCGAATATTTCCCATCTTTTGCTCCCACCTGTGATGAGTGACCTGCTGCGCTTGTCTTACGAGGATAAGGATTACTTGGTTTCCTTTTAGGTCGTGGAGGAGGAATTTCAATGTCAAGTGCTTGACTTGTTGGGACCCCCTTTGTAAGAGCCTCCTTTTCTAACTGGACCAGATTAGGAAACTAAAATGTCAGTCCACAGACTAGTTACTTAGCACAATGGTTATAAGACAATTTCAACATGAAAAGAGGAGCAATCAGGGTTAATTGATCATTGGAATTGCATATAGCTGAATCATCTGGACATTCTATCGAATAGATCTATCTTAACTACATGCCAATAGCTAAATTCTCACAGGCCTGGTATAGCTGCCAAAGTAAAACAGAGACTAGTACTAGGAGCTGGATGTCTCTACAGAAAGTCACTACGAGTGGTACAAAAGGTGCTGAAACTGCTCATGTAATGACCTCTCACCACGGGATCTTATAGTCTGCATATTGTGAAGTCATAAAACTTAAATGCCTAAAATAGCCAATTCTCTGTCATTGTCTTCATTTGAAGCTTCCAATCATGTCCATGAGTTGCAGACTCTAAATCACCCTTTTACGAGTGTGCATCTAAAAAGCATTTTCATCTTATCGTCTTTGATAGTCTATTTACTTTGTAGATTCTCTTTTTCAGATTTAAATGCTTCAGATGAATCAAATAGCAACCAGAAAACAGTGGAAAACAGCCAAGTATTTTTACTTCTTGTAATTAGTGCAACTAAATAGACCTCACCTCTAAATTGGAAATACATACCTCCCCTCTAACAGTCATTTTAGGAATCTCAGCAGTCATTAACTTTCAATATTAGAAGTCATATAGAAGTGATGTTAAATGCCAACTGTATCCTATTTAACCCTCGTCACTGGTATTCCCCCAAAAGACCAAATGGTAAAAAGAGAACAAGGAAAGAAGAACTAGACTTCACGATTAAGACAAAATGCAAATCCATTATAAACCCCATACGAGCTGTTCCTTTTCCGCCTTTTTGACATGATTTAAATGTTTTTATGATGAATGTGATTTCAAATTTTAATGTGGATGTGTGTGTGGGGACCAATATATGTAAGTTTCACCATATGAAATTGTGTTTGTAGTTGTGTTATGCTATGAAGAGACATATTACTATGCTTTGAGCTCTTTTCAGCTTATGCACTCAATATTATGAATAAAAATGTATATGAATGCTTAAAAATGAGAACAAAATAAATGTAAGGTTGGTGAATGCATTAATATTAATTGTGCTACCCAAAATGAGGCACAAAATGTTCTAAAGAAATGAATCTTGAGCCTAACTCAACCCCAAGAGCTAAATTGTGGGGGTTGAGTTAGGCCCAAGATTCATTTATTTACATGTTGAACAGAGTAGGGCTCATCGCAATTCTTGTTTGACGATGTTGGGCCCCTATATTAATTTGCTCATGCGACAGATATCCAGCCCTGATAAACACCAGTGAAGTGGCAAGAGAGGTTTGTTGAGATGATAAACACCCTCCACCTCCAACCCTAAGGTTGTGGGTTCGAGTTCAAGGGAGTAAAAAATATGGGAGCTCATAGGGAGGGAGGCAACAAATATAAAAGGAGGTAAAAATGTTTAAATGAAGTGTTTATGAACAATAGAATGAAGTGATACATGTTAAGCCACATTGTGATATTGAATTGAATATGTATTGCCCTCGTGAGTGAAACATGAATATGAGCAAGTATGGTCGTCATGGATGAAGTATCAAGAACCTAACCCCTCAGAGGTAAATTACAAAAAGGTATGATGACCCATTGATCATATGAAAGTATGGCCTTCGTGGGTGGAATGATTGTAAGAAATGATGGCTCTCGTGAACAAAGAAGGACTTGTTATAACAACTATGACATCTGTTATGTTTCAAATGAGCCCTATGAAGGTGTTCTATAACATGCACATGATCTGAAAACTCATGGTTAAGTCTGGGATGCTAAATGTTCTTTACAACACAAATGACTGCTCTAAGTGA